CAGAGCAGTGGCAGAGCTCTGGTTTGAAACGCAAGCCAAAAAATGACCCAGAACTCGATTTGGAGTTGGTTTTGCTCCCGATTGTAATACAGGAGTTCCTTGGTTTAGGCTGGCTTGGCAATCCCAGCTGTGAGAGGAACAGGCTGCCCAAAGGAGCCTGGTGCTTCAAACCGCCTGTGCTGGACTAGGCTGCGAGTTTTCACCTTGGGGGAAGCCTTCACTTCATTTGAGATGGATGATTTGGCTCATTAGGACTGATACCAGCTGTACCACAGATCTCTTCCCGTGCTTTTCCTCAGTCCTGCCCAGCTGGTCTTCCAGTTTCAGAACTGATGTCCAGTTCCTTGGTGAGACTTTGTCTCTGTTTCTTCTCCTTGCAGATAAACAGCAGCCTCAGTCCTTCACTGATTGCACTGATGGTTAAAGGAGGTGCTCATCACCTGGATCTGCGGTGAGTACCGAGCTCTCCTTTGGCTGATAAAATCCTACTGCCCTGGGTGTTTGATTTGAGCTCACCACAGTGCCAAGAACCAGGAGATGCTTCAAGAGAACTGGATACCGGTCTGGACAGCAGACTCCTGCAGCCTCACGGTGAAGAGCACAGGGCTCTCACAGCCCTTGGGGGAACTGGGCTGGGCAGAACTCAGCCCTGAGCTCACGTCCCTTCCTTTGAGCGTGTTCTTGCACAGGGATTGGCACAAGTGTGTGACAGCCCGTAGTGATCAGCCACATGAAGTAGTCCAGTGTCTGTTGGCAACGGGCATCAGCCTTCAGGGCTGGAGCAGAAAGGGCAGCAGGGTGCTGCCTCCTGACCTCTGGGTGGGTGCGATGCTGTAATTTGTTTTCCAGGGCATAAACATGAAGTATAAACCAGATCATCTTCAGTTCCCTGGCTTGGCTTTCCCTGTGCAGCAGGTAGAGAGCTGCTGCCCACTGACTCCACGCTGCTCTGCTTTCTCTAGGGGACACAACCCAGCCGACCCCCCGTCCGTCACTGAGGTGCGCAAGCTGGAAGCGAACATCATCGGTCGCTGGGTGGAGTCTGCCAGGATGGAAAGAGCCCAGGAGAAGCGCTCGGGGGCTGCAGCGGGCGGGTGGCTGTGAACACCTCCATCCCCACGGCCTCTGCGGGGCTGTCACCAGGCTCCAAAGACCGCAGCCTGCTGTGCTGTGTCTGTGCTGTTTGAGAAAGCGTCCTCTCCTCTGCCACGCTGGTGGAAATTCGCCTTGCTGAAGCATCCCTCCTGCCCCTAATCCAGCATCAAGAGAAAAGCCAAAGGCCTGCTCGCCGATCGGAGCCAAAACCACGCTGTGTGGGTTGCAGGAGGCACCTGAAGGTTGAAGCTAAATTAATTTTAGACAAAAATTAAGTATTAGATGATTAAAAAGCAGAGGTACGGTCACAACTTACGCAGGTTCACGGGGGACGCCACTGGTGACCACTTTTGTGTCAGCCCACCCAGTGCTGGGGGGGTTTGGGGGTTTAGTTTGGTTTCATTTTGAACAGATCTCAGTTGGGGAGCTGGAGATCGACACAAGGTAATCCCAGGGTGCACTGCGTGTTAGTGACCAGGAATGCACGCTTCCACTCGAGACGGGTTCAGATGATTTTAAAATAAATTACAAGTTTATTAAAGTGTGTGATATAATTTCATGGCTTGGTAGTATAGCGAAAGAAGATTAAAAAAAAAGGATACTTTTCACCTTCCCAGGTGGAGTAAACTCATTTTTGCACATCAACAGGTGGATTCTTACCTACTGGAATTACTATGCACCAATAAATACTAGCGTAATATTAAATCCTGGCAATCAATTGGATGCCTCAGTTGATCCATTTACAGTGAGTCTAAGAGTTCGCAGAGAAGCCTCCTGGGTCATCAAAGGCTCAGGTTTCTTAGGCAATGTCCCAGCGTCGCTTCAGCGGCTGCGACGCTGCCCAGACACGAGGCTGTGTTAAACCTTTGTGCTGCTGGGTCCTCCCTGCCCTCCCAGCAGGATGGGGTCAGTCACTGATGTTCGGGTGCTGACAAAGGGGTTTTTGGCATAGGACCTGCTCACCTCTTCTCTGTTCTTGCTACAAAAGGCCAAAGCTTCTGCTCCCCACACCCAGGGGAGCGGTTTGGGAGAGCCAAACAAATGAATTTACCAGATCTTTCACATAGGTACAAATGAAGGACAACACATGGAAGACCCGATTAGTCAAACTCCAGCCACCCCAAAAGAAAAAAACACTTTAAGACTGTTAGTGGAACTACAGCATCAATAAAACCCGTATCTTCTCCATTTGTGCTGATGAAAACCTCTACACCATTAAGAGCTAACGTCCCCTTTGCTCCTGCAGAAGTCAGGCTTCAGGTTTGCTGCGGAAATGGGCTCACAAAACACCGCTTCTGCCCGAGCCTGGTACCGACCCTCCATGCTCACAGACCCCCTGGCTCTTCTGAACTTGGATTTGCTGTACCCCAGCAATTACTCAGGCCTAGCACCACATTAAATAAAGCAGACAGCGGTGGATGTGTCTGCAGAGAGAGAAGATTACATCTTCCTTGCAGAACCTTCCTAACGGCATCTTTAGCTCCCAGCAAGCAGGCACCCTAATTACACCAACCTAATTAGTGCGGCAGCGCCCTAAAGCAGCCAAGCTCAGTACGAGCCCTTTGGAAAGTGCTCTGCAAGTCCCTGCCTTTAACCAGCGGCTTGTTCTGCGCCTTTGAACAGAGGCCCAGGTACCTTTGGACCTTCTGGAAGGGTAAAAGCTCTTTGATCCACTTATAACAGAGTAAACTGATGATCTCTGTCTCTTGCAGACAGCCCCTCTTGCCCCAAAGGAATCAAAAAATGGTTTGATTTGTACGTAAGGATGAACTAAAGCCTTTCAAATGCTATGGCAAAGGGATCAACAAGATATACATGGACTTCCATACAGATGATAGATGAGCAGCACTAAAAATAATGACAAAAACAGGCTTCAGCAACTGTGGCAGAAGGATGAAGCCCGTGCCACAAACATCCAGAACATTCTGAAGCCTTGGGCAAGGAAGAATGGGATCCAGGTGGAAACCCTGGCTGTGTGGTGTGCTCTGAGCTGAGGGCAAGAGCCCAGCAGCAGCAGCCCCCGCTCACCGCAAGGACGCTGCTTGTGCAGGGAACAACAGGACAAGGGAGCACACACAGAGAGCAAACGACCCCAAGCAGCGTCCGTGGGTGCCTCCACTCTGGTTTGAGAGCTGCTCCAGCGGGGCTGTTGAGAAAAGGCTTATCTGTTCTGTCAGCACGTGCCAGCACGAGGATGGGGACGTTCCCAGAGCAGCAAGAAGCATCTCTAAGTCAGAGCTTGAAAACTGATCATGCAAATCCGCAGGTTTGCCAGGCAAGCACAGGTCATCCATTTCTGAAGAACTCGGGGTCGGTTTTCAGCGGGAGCCGAGGCCTCCAGACTTTGACAGCAAGTTCTAGCAATGCTTCAGAGAAAAAAGGCCACAAGCCCTTTCTTCTGAATCTGAAGGCAGGAAACTCAGCCCTTCTGTTGAAGCAATGAGCTTGCCTGACCTGGAACATCACAGAGTTACCCTGACACATCAGTTTTACTGGTCTTGGTAAGTATGCCCAGCATGGCACTGGAAATCAGGAGCTGAACTGCCTGTATGGTCATTTCTAGGAGTGCATGGCTGGAGGAAACAAGCCTTAAAGGGCAGAAGAGATTCAGAAAGCTGTAAATCTGTTGGTTGTAAAAACTTATCCCATCTGCCTCCCTTATCACTGCAGTGTCACGCTGGTACAGAGCAGGAAATGAAGTGGTTCTTGGCCTTGTATGTGGAGGTAAATACAGCTGGGGCTGAGCTTGGCAGGTAACGCTGGCGATCTTTTAACAGAAAGCCACGTGAACACAGAGGGGCCCTGTCAGCCAGCACCATGGACCTTGCAAAACCACCGGTTTCCAAGACCTGCAGTGAGACTTCAGCTCCCAAAAAGTTCAGAGTCAATGCTACCTGTGTCCCCATCCATCTATCAAATATTATTTGAGCAAACAGGTATGGATTCCTTTCTCAGCTATGGCTTAAAGCCCAGAGGGTGAGACTTCAAGTCCTGGAGTGTGCAGCACCCCACGGCTGTGCCCATACCCATTTCTGTTTCTCAATGAAAGGGTAAGGGAACAGCAGAGCTTGGGGGAGGGCGTTTTATTTCATGAGAGGAGACACTCAAGCTCTTGGAGAGAAACCAAGGCAGCTCCTTGTGCAAAAGGACAGAAACACTGGCTGAAGAGATGGCCTTTCCACAGCATTTGACTGAAGCAGCAGCAGCAGGAGTGTGCCAGTACAGTTAAACACCAAAACGGGTTACAGACCCTGCAGTTAAGGCTCTGGTTCAAAGAACCACAGCGTACTGGGAAGAAAACTTGTCAGACTTGCAAAGCTTCTGTTGTGCTGAGGGGAGCACACAGCGGAACTGGGATGAGCTGCGAAGCTCAGAGATTAATCAGACACTACGTGTTGTATGAAGGAAGTAAAAATAAATAAGCAATTAAAGTGCCCTTTGCAAAACAGCAAGCAGCAGATGAGCTTTCAACAGACGGTTTAGGTTTGTGCCATTTCATGTGTGATACAGGAGTGTGAAACAAGCATCTGTTCACAAAGGCAGAGAGAGCTGAGCAATGCTAACCTCAGATTTCAAAGGCAAGGACAGTAAAGCCACGCTTTGCAAAGAGATTCAGTTTCCCAGGAAGAATTCGGTAGAAAAGTGGGACCACCAGGCTCAGCTAAAAGACAAGAAGTGCATTTGGGAAGTGACAATTTATTCTCCTCTCCTTCCTTTAACTCGTTATAAAATGGATTATTACTCTCAAGCCAATCGTAAGGCAAAAATAATTGTAACACAGACTCCCACAGTCCCATTTTTGTAGAGTCAATGATATTAAGACTAGCGTAAGACTTCAACAACAGCAGATGTTTGGTGAGCATTTGTACGTATTCCACCTTCTAAGAAACCTGTTTCCTCAGTAGGGCTGCTGGATAGGAAAAACACCAAACTGGAACGTTACAGTCCATAGCAAAGTCATTAATCATGGTTCAATACCTGCTCCAATCCAAGGCACAAGGCCAAAAAACAAGTCAGTAGGGCCTGGACAGTCTGACTGGATTTATCTTTTTAATCTCCAGTTTCAAGCCTTCAGCTTTTAGCCAAAGCTCAGCTCCTCAGTAACACGAACCTGCTCCACAAACAAAACCACTGAACGGGTTTCCTTCCCACATTTCAACCCCGTTTTCCTTCTCCGCTGTTGTGTCAAAGAAAACAAAAGCCCCGGGAGCAACTCGGTTGTGCAGACAAAGGCTACAGCCACTGGATTCCTCTGCACACACGGCCAGAAAGGGATTTCCAAGGTTACCGGTGGCACGTGAACTGGAGGAACATTCACATTCTGCACAAACTTGTCGTGACTTGCAACTCCCAAGGTCGCTTTGACGACGGGAAAAGGTGCATTTAAATAATCTGTGAAATCTCTCCATTGCTATTAGCCATGGTTAGTACAAGGAATGATAAATACTCTTTAAAAGACTGAAATAGTGGTCCTAAGGGTAACTTCTGACTCCAGCCAACAGAACTGATCAGCATAAAACAACCGAAGATGCATCTCAGCTGACAAATCAAAGGTTACTAACACTGTAAACCACACAAACCTCCTTCAGCTGCTGCAAAATGAGCCATTACAGTCAGATTTAATCACTTGTGTTAGCAGCCCTGGATTTAGAGGGGACTGCGTCTCACTGTACCTGCAGACTCCCCGATAACGTGAGGGGAAAGGATGTTTTGGTGAGCACAACTGCTTTAAGAACTACGAACAAGCACGTTTCTGAGAACCTATCTGTGAACACACGACTGTCCAAGTAGCTACAGAACAAGGAAAAGCACTCTAGAAAGCTGATTTCCAGATCGATGGCTTAAAAAAATCTATTTGCACATCTAAAACGGAAACATCCCAGGGCTGCAACAAGATTCTTAAGAAAACCTGGGTCTGCTTTGTCTTCAAGCCACTGAACAGATGTCACTACTTCTATTTGGACCAGGAGATGCTGTAATACGTTTAGGCTGTCTGCTTTTAATACTAC